TTTTTTTTTATTTATAGTTTATTAACAATTAATAGTTCTGTAGACAGTAACACAGGCAATGAGAACAGCTTTATGTCAAACATTCATAAACTGACATAGTCTACAGGTTCAGCTTTGCTTACTCTTGACACCTTGGACCCAGGTGGGAACAGTGACAGTTTGTCGGAGCTAGCGGAGGTGACTCGCTGCGCAGTTTCAACTCGTCCGTAGTAGGAAACAACTGCAGCTCGCCTGGTCAAATACGATCTCGTATTACAGCTAAACCGTACACTAAAATATGTTTCTGAAACGATTTTAAGTGAGAAATGGGCAACGCAGTAACAGTTTGATCTGAGTTTGGTGCGTTGAGCTGGACAGACTCACTGAGAGTGACCTGTCAATACACAGCTTTACTATAATTTACTAAATGAATATCATTCTGTATGGAAGGAGACTTGAAACTAGAGATTGAGACCATAAACTCATTACGAAACTGTTTACTGAGCTAATAAATCCTATGAGAAGTCCGCTCATTCTCCATTACAGTGAATGGTATTGGTGTATTATTGCAGCCAATGGAGCTCCCACTGCTAGCCATTACAGAGGACGCACGTTTAAGACACTTCCGAATTGGCTTCACTTCACAGACCTGGAAGCTCTGTCTGTTATATATACTGTCAATGGTTCGACCTAATATTCCCCTTTCTACTTTCAGTGAGAGGACAACAAATCACCCTCATTGCTTGATGACTCTGTCTCATATTGGGAATTTTGCAACAAACAGAATAATAAAATACACGGACTCAATGTGCAAGGTCTCTATACATAATATTTTTTTTATCAGATGATGGATTCATAAACCGCACACTCTTCTCAATGACTATCAGTTTAGTCAACTATTAGGGGACCGCCCTCTGGGAAATGTGATTGCGTGGATCTGCTGAAAGCAAATATGCAGCATGTGGTGCTCTTTGCTCAGCATGGGCAAATGGAGGAGAAAAGGCATTTTAGCCAAAAAACAGCGCTTTATAGGAAACAGAGGAAACGGATTGCAGTGCAAGAATGCAGTGTGCCACATTAAAGTATAAAATAACTCACATTATAGAAAATATGTTGGGAACACTTGTTGATGTAAAGAAGAGGAATCTTTATCCAAACAGCAAATGTCAATCGCTTGATTTAGGGAAGACAAAAGAGCATTGATTGACCTAATTAAAGAGGTCATAGGGCTCAAGGCGTTTGCATGAATGATTGTTTATCTATGGTTTGACTGTAATTAGACTGGAGACATTGACTTAATTAAATGAACTGAAAGAATAGTGTGTGAATTATGTGTTTTGGTCTTGTGATCTCTCAGTTAAGTCCTGGATGCACAGGATTTCACAGTTCATGCTTAATCATACACTTAATCAAGTAGTCCTCAATTATACCTTGTTTCAAAAATCCTCTTTTGTCTCTATAAATAATGCTGTAAATATGGCACTCTTAGTAGGGCTAGAAATAAAACAGGATTTATTTGGTAGACCTCAGAACTATGGTTATCAAAGCTGTTCTAATCAATGGATTAGTGACTGTAATGTGTGAAAGGTTGTTCATAAACCCAACTCAGCAGTTCCCCTCAGATCAAAGCTCACAAAACTTGCTGTCATCAACCGTTTTCTTTTTTTCAAGTGGAGCATTTATGATTGGTTGTTTTCATCCAGGCCTGGTGGAGTCTAGGAGGAGCCAGAGGAACCTGATTTTTTTCACACATTATGTGTCTCATGTACTACTGTCAGGATATAGTGAACAGCCCCCCTGGATCCTGACTGCCCAACCACTGTGTGTTGACAAAAATGTCATGTGTCATGGACCAGATGTAGATTGAGTACTCTGTTGCCATGTATCAAAATTGTGCAATTGATCAATCGATCTGAGGATTTCTCAGGAGAGGAACCTAGGTATCATTTTAAATATTCTGGCCACATGTAAAAATGCCCTATGCTTTTGAATAATAGTGTATTAATTATTAGACAGGTCTAACAAAGACCATATTTTATCCATTACACTGAGGCTCATGTACATGTATTCTGTGTATCCCCAGATATTTCCCATGTTCCCTGCATCTGTGTTCATCAGAGGGCACACTGCACTCATGAAAGCAATGCGGCGGAAAACACTAGGGAATAAACGGAGCATTTAAAACAGTCAATAGTGGGATCCAATGAGACTATTGCTGGTGTGATTTTAGCTGGCCAGTATGCTGCTGTTAACTCAGGGTTCCCACTCTTTTTAAGAAATTAGGTTCCAGGACTTTTCCATGAGTTTTTCTTGACTGTACAGGACAGCAGTTGCTCAGTAAGCTTGCTTTTGTGGTGCACTTGGCTTTTCTCACCACAGCTGACTTTTCCTCGCAACCTCAGCTTCCCAGACAAATTTACTTTTTCCATTCCAGTTTGCGTCTGGTCAACCCAATCTGAAGTGTCAGAGTGTGCAGCTTATCTTACCAGCAGTCGAGTTCCAAACAAAATACTGTCCCAGTTTTATAATTAAAAAATCTTCGAGACAACATAAACTATTTCTCGGATATTTGGCCATTTTGTGTCAAAATTTTCCTTTTTTTCTCCCCAGATTTCTCAGAATTTAACTACATTTTCAATAATCCACAATGTAATAATACTCTGTCCAGTTCTAGCAATGTTTGGTTCATAACAAGTTGATGGATTATAACTTGGGATCATTTCAGCCAGCCTGGACAGTCTCTATGCTTTAAAAGTCTTCTTTCCACTCTGTGTCAGTGAACTCAGCACTGAGCCTGTCCCTGTCAATTATTAGGGTTGGTCTTTTAAACCACTTAATCAGGCTGTTGCCTTAATTGCAGTCTTGGCAATTATCACTTCATTGTGTGCAAACACACTTAATGACTTACACTTAATGTATACTGTGTACATGCAACAATACTAATCTAATCAAAACAGTCTTAAACACATCTTTATGGCTTTTGTGTGTTGTAGGTCTGTCATTCAGGTACTTCAAATTAATTGGAAAGCGACCCATGTAGTTAGTGTTAGTACCCAAGTAGGCCTACATCGTAGCGATAGTGTTCCACTCATTTGTGGTGCGCTTGTTGCCTTACAAACCTATCGTGACGTCACCCAACGGTTTGTGAGTACCGTTTTGAAGCCTCCAGTTAGGCATTATGGTCGCACATGTTGTTTTGCAGCGCAGACGTACTGCAAGTTGGCTGCTCTTATTGGCTACCCTTGACACATGATATGGTACGCAAAATATGTTTCTGGAACGATTTTAAGTGAGAAATAAGCAACACAGTAACATAATCTGGATTCATATTTGATTGTTTTGAGTTTGGTGCGGTCCCCCGATGGATTTTTTTTTTGATTAATTGAAAGTGACAGCCCAAGTGTGTAGAGTGCAAATGTCAATATTAAATCACTGACCTAACGTGTGCAGTGTTGTTTTTGTTCTATTGTAGTCTCTTCTGTTATCTTAATGAAGCTGCAGCATAGGTTCATGGGGGACGGAGTCATTAGCACTGGTAATTGATCTGGGCAGTCAGCATGAGGGGTAAATTCCCAACCACACACACATTCCACAACATAGAGCAATGTGTTTAAACGTATGGTTGTTACACTAAGGTCAATTGCATTTGAGACAGCTTTCCTGGCTGAATTTAAAAAAAAAAAAAAGAGTTATGCATAGCAGTGTTTCCTTTGATTTATTCGCGGCTCTATGCCACAATAACAATATTGATCAGCATATTGATTTCTAAGGGACAAGGCATGATCTTTTACTGGCTTCCGACCCAATTTGTAGCAAGGCTTTGTAGAACCTGCTTCAGTGTAACCAGCAAAATATGTGATTCTTCTCAGTTTTTGTGAACTGGCTTGCATGAACGCAGCATGGGACGTTTACCGGCGCGCGCTAGACGACGTATAACAACAACAACAACAACAACTACTAGACTGGTTGGTTGCTAACCGTGGCTAACAAGCAAACAATTTAAAGCTGAATGATTTTAATATTAACACATAATAAGAATGCACCTTAAATAGTATACCCTGCTATGAGCTGTTCCTTAACCAAACTAACAATTGGCTTAGAATTTACATTAGCACTCCTTCAGGTGAATAATACAATTAAACCCATTAACCAAAGCTAACGCTTAGCTAGCCATTAGCGCGTAGCTAGCGATTAGCGTTAGCGCTCTTTTCAGTATTAATACAATGAAAGTTGAAGTTGTTCTCTTATTGTGCACAGACAGTGTTTACATTTGGAAAGCCATGTTGCCTTTATGTATGCATCCAGTGGGGAATCACAATAAAATTAGGCATAATGTGTTGATTCCACAATAGGAGATATGTTATTTGGTGTACAGTTAGGGTTAGGTAACAGTTTTGGTGTAAAAAGCCTGCATATATCGGTATCGGGTGATATCGATATCGGAAATTGAGAGTTGGACAATATCGGAATATCGGATATCGGCAGAAAAGCCAATATCGAGCATCCCTAGTTTGTACCATTTCTTCCTCTGCGACATGACTTCTTTCCACTGTGTTAGACACACCATACCAGGACCCTAGAAACAGAGGCCCAGAAATGGTATTCAGTCATCATTTCTCTTATTTCCGCCTGTGCTTTTCTTACTGTGATGTGTCAAAATGTCTTCTGTGAAAAATACCTATGAACCTGCACAAACAACCTAAACCTGAACCTTAAACCTGAGAACATGTCCTCACATTCATTATCATCAGTCAGGAAACATGCACTTCTGCTAGAGTGACATAAGGCAGTCTCTAGCTGACACCTGTGACATCTGCTTTTGATCGCTGGCTTGGGGGAAATCATGTCCGAGCGTGTTTGTGGATATGGGCTCATTAATTATTCTAGGCCTGCTTGTATTTGTTTGCACGTATAGGTACATTCATGCAGTAACGTGTGCTGTTTACCTGATCCCTGTGTGAGAACTGTTTTCAATCTGAGGAAGCAGCTTCATTGTTTCAGCCTTTTTCTCCACTTCACAGGAAATTCCCCGCTGCTGGCAGTGATGGAGAACGAGACGTGGCCGCACCCCTCATATGTCCCCCATTATCTCCTCCGTGGTGACCCGTTTGCCTCGAGACTCTCCAAAGAGGCGGACATCGTTGCAGCTTTTTACATCTGTATCATAGGTCAGTCTCTTCATATATCCGTAAATGTTCTGATTTCATCTAGTCATTGAAAAAAATGTCAAGTGTTATCAGGTTTAATGCTAGTGGTCTAGAGCATGACATATTTTCAATAACATCTCATTGCAAGACAATACAATAAAGAAAAAGATAACAGTCTGGGACATGAAATAAATGCTTGAACTGACTCTTGTACATTGGTATCAGAAAATTTCATCAGTGTATTGTTCAGTTCAGTGTTTCATTTGTCATTGTTAGTTGGTTAAACTTTCCAGATGTTGGTGCGCAGGATGCACAGGAAGCTGTGTTTTAAAATCTTGGTTTACTTTGGCTAACTTTAAAGGTGAACAATGGTTCCCAGGCAAAATAGGAAATTCCACAACACCTTCCAGCAAACAATGCGTGATGATAATATAATATATAATATAATATTTATCTCGCAGCACATAATGTTCAGATAGGCTAGACTAGGAGTGTAGTATGGATATTATGAATAATACGCTAACTATATTATATTATTAATAATAAGCATTTATGAGCAGTCTATTATCAGATGGGCACAAAGCATTGTTTCTGATTCAACCCACATTCTTCAGGGTTCCCCACAGCAGGCTGAACCATTATATTAATTCCTGCCTATGTCCATAAGATCTTCAACTCAAACAGGTAGTGTAGGATGGTGGCCATGAGGGCTGTGCAATATGTCGCCGTTGTCAAAAGGTGTGTATAGATATGTGATGTATGTGCATGTGCAAATGGTTACTTGGACGCTGTGTGTTGCTGAGATTCTGAGGATTTTTTTTAGTTTTTTTTCTTTTTAATTATGCAGTATGTGGGGTTTTTATCTTCTGTGGAACTGCTGAACAATTTTCCGTACAGGGATAGTTAAAGTATATTCTATATGAGTACAGACAGGCGAGTCGAGAGTTATTTAATTTTCTTTCCTCTGCAAATTTAGCCGAGACTGGCAGATGTCTAAGGAAAAAAAAAAGAATGTAACTGATCTGAAATGACTAATTAATACAAACGAAGTACTGAGTCGTGTGCACCAATGACACATTTTTTATCTCCAATTAATTCATGTATGCTGAACAATGAACTTATGTAAAGTGGTTAATAAAGGTCCAGTGTGCAGGATTTAGTGGCATCTAGCCCACCCCTCCCCTTCCAAGCACAAAGAAGAAACTATGCAGTATTTGGTTTGTTCGTTCTTGGATGCTGTAGAAAAATGACGGCTCAAAATGGAGGAGGTAGCGCAAAATACAACAATTCCAATATTAAGGTGATCATCCACTAATGAAAACATAGCTATGAATATTATATTCCATTTCTGCCAATAGAACCTCCTAAATATTACACACTGGACCTTTTTAATGGATAGTGACAGCCGAAGGTAGACAGATAAGGGGGGAGAGAGAGGGGACGACAGGCAGCACAGTGCCACAGGCCAGAACAGAACCCGACCCCAACACATGGGGAGCATGCTCCACCAGGCTCCCCTTGTGTGTTATTTGAACACTGTAATTAGTCATGTGAGAGCACAGTTTACCACTGTATGCCAAGTAATACATTTTTGTTTTTATTCATGAAACCAATTGGGCGTGTTAGTGTTAGTATCTACCTTTACAATCCTTCTTCCTTCTTCAAGAGGAACAACAGTAGCTTCTCTCCTACTCACAGAGGCAAGAGTACCAAACTTTTTTTTTTACACCTTTTCTGTTTCTTAAAGCTGTCTTTGGAATTCAGCAGCCAGCATTTAGTTTATTATGTTTTAGTACATTATTGAGGATTTTGCAGACTGATGACTGACAACAGTATGAATTGTCATTTGCTTGTAATTTCTTATGCCCTTTACATCAGTATGATCAAAGAACATTCTCTTAATGTGCAGATGACTGACTGCAATTACTACCGTTCAAAAGCAAATCAAATTACTGACCTTTCCTAATAATAAAATCCCACTGCAGATGGGCAGGCAGGAGTACAAAGGGGGTCATTGTTGAGATCACGCATTTTAACATCAATGAATTATGACCATATCCTATAGAGGCTAGCTGTGAAAGGTGAAGTACACATTCTGTTTTTAACAGCAATTAAGGGGATATATGGGAAATGGGTTTAATGGGGCGCCCACCGTCCACTGAATTAAAAGAGTGGAGCTGGAGGGGTGGATGGACAACAGAACTTTATCCCAAGGCCACCGCTGTTTGTGTCCCATGTGAAACCAAGAGTAGACCGTTTGTTTCAAATTATATAACTTACCTTATGTAACATAATGTAACTTTTCTAAACCTAACCAAACTGCAACTGTTAACCATGCAAGCTTTATTTTGAAAGTCTAACTGGACATTACATATTTCTTCTTGCTAACTTGTGAGAGGGATATCTACAGCATCACATTTTGAAGCCAAGGACCACTGACCAAGCGGTAGCATTTGGCGACACATTTTTCAACACAATTTTTCATTGAAAAAACTATGATAATGTAACATTTGTTCGTGGTCTGTAGTGGCAAACATGTTTTCTAACATCTGAAGAAAAAGATTTGTAGACCAGAGCATCTCTAAAGTTCTTCATTAATGCTGTTTGTCACACATTTTATCTTTAGCAAAGACTTGCAGCCTCTGCAATTTGGCTATCGCACTAGACCATATTTCAGATTTGATAATATTGTGATTAATTGTGCAGCCCTATTTGGAGCTTTTTCAGGGGTTCTAAATCTGAGTGCTGCTGCAGTGTAAGAGGTATTATTTAAAAGTAGAATTTCTTTCCATACGTGCCCCCCTCCCACCTGATCAATACACACCGACTCTCACATGAAGTCCTGGCAAAAAACAGGATTATCCCGAGAAGGCCTCATTAAATCAAAAGCCTGACAAGAACATTTTAATCGGTATTGGCTGTGTAAACACGGATCCCACGCAAACACGCATTCATTTTTCTATCTGTCACTGGGCTGAGTGGAGGTCTGCTGACATGTTCATATCAGCAGTGGAATGCAGATGAAGAATATGAAAGATCGTATGCTTATGTGCTTTCAGTTTTAGTTATCATCAAGATTCCCTTGTACACTTGATCACCTCTTTTTTTCTCTGTCCTGTTTGTTTGTCAGCATAGCTATTTAGCCAATGCCATTCTTCCAATCAGAGAGGAAACAGTGATAGACAAGTATATTATGTGTGCAGATGATACACACAAACCATGGTAAAGGATTAATGTTCCCCGGTGAATCCTCCTGTGTCTTGGGCACCAACAGGGTTGCTAGGAGATTAGAAGCTGCTAAGGCTGTATACTGCAATCTAACAGCAGTGTTATAAGAACAGAGCACAATGACTTTATAATTGACAGTGATAAGAAAAGCGATAAAAGGTGACAAGCTGTTGCTTGGGTTAAGCAATCAGAGGGCTAAATCATTGAAGCTCCAGATACTACTTGAAGCTGCTGTAATCAAAAGCTTAATCACGTTAATCATTCCCCCACCAAAATCCCAAGCTAATAATTGAATGTTGTTACTTTACTTAAGTCGTTTTCAGTTACTTTAGTTTTAATGCATTTAAAGGAAATTTTCACCTTCCCAACATCGCGAAAATTACAAAAACAACATAAAAGACGTAAGAAGAAACAGAAAAGAGAGGGAGACTCGACCCTAATTAGCTTCGCACAGAAACTGCTGGTAGAAATGTCCATCAGAGAACCAAGAGAGTACTTTACTGGATTTACTTTTGGTAGTACTGGTAGTACATTTCAGCACACTATTACTTTAGTAAATAAGTTAAATACGCACTTTTTTGATGCAAGTATCTGTACTAATATTTGAGTAAAAAATGTGTGTACTTTGGTCACCTCTGCATATACAGACTATGACGTGGCCACTAGAAAACCTGCAAAACCGTTGTTTTCCTCCTTGGCATGTCATTTGCATGCTGTGCATGGGCAATGTCACAATTGGCCTAGACAGCCAATCAAAGCAAGCAAGAGGCAGACTTTACTAGCACTTTCTTCCTGTTTTGATGCAGTCTACTATGCCAGTAAAGTAAGTCTGCTTGAATCCACTTTTTTCTATGAACATATATGACCGCCTGGTTGCGCATACAGCTCAGCTCCACAGGAACACCAGCGTTTTTTATGCTCTTTGCCAAGGCGTTTTTGAAGCAGCCGTGCCTGTAGTGATAACATTACTATTTTTGTTGACTCTCACTGCAGTGAAAACCATTTGTTGCATATCATCCATCTCTTCCTTCCTTTCCTGTCAGCTTTCTACTGCCTGCTCTAATAAAGACTGATATAGATGAAGGAAATACTTAAACTCAATTATAAAAAGTCAGTTTAAACTTAACCAGAACATAAAGGTTTGAATCCTTCTTTTTCATTTGTCAGATCAAGGTGTTTATGTGATGCATTTTTCATTCCTTTTAAGCTTTGTTCTCATTATGATTGGAAGAAGAAGCAACAGTTAGGCTGAGGGCAGTAGATGTACAGATGCAGTAGCCTGCACTGTGAATGTCTGTGTTGCTTGCCCTATTTAAAAAAAAAAAAAAAAAAAAAAAAGAGGAAGGGAAACGTGTGCTGTGAGTCTCGCGGGGCCTGTATGCAGACCTCTGCCGCACAGCTCGCAAATTCACAAACAACTGGAAAAAATACATTGCGGCATTGCGTGTGTTGTCAGATTGTCTGAAAGTGACAAAACCCAACCAAATTAAGAAAGCAATAGAATATGCAATGTCTACAGTAAAAGGTTAATGTCAGGAAAAAGGAATGAAACGGTCCAGGGTGAAAAGTATACACTGTGTTCCAAATTATTACGCAAATATGATTTCAATTAAAAAAACATTAGATTTTTTGTTTTTCAATGAAAGTTTTCAATTGTGTTGCTTCCCATGTCTGTTTAGATCACTGACATTAATCTCAGACAGGTTTGTCTTTATTAGTCTGCCAGGTGAGCCTAATTAATGGGAAACTACTTAAGGATGTTGTTCCACATTATTAAGCAAGTCACAGGTTTC